CCCTTCCCCGTCTCATCCCTCACTTTTCTCTTCGTCCCTTCCCCCGCCCTTTCTGTTGCAGGATCCTCGTTTTGTCTTGTTTGTCGTTATGTTCCCTGCCCTTCGTCGCCGCGCGAACGGCGCAGCAGCTGGGGCGTGCAGAGTTGAAGTTATGCGGATTTTAGCCTTCTGCACTTGTCGGCTGGCGCGTCCGCCGTCGATTCGAGGTTCGGGGCGGTCGCGCGCGCGCGCTGATCGCAGAGTCTTACTGGAGGGGGGCGGACGGAGCAGAGCGGCCGCGCGCGCGCGCGCAGCGTTGCTCGCCTGGTTGGCAATTGGCAAGAAGACATAAGGGAAAGGAGGGGGGGAGATAATCAGGGCTAGCGGGGAGAGAAGGTAGAGCGACAAGGGCGGGGGTGGCTTTTCGGGAAAACGTCGCGCGCCAGCAGATCATTCGCTGGCGCGCGAGGGTGCTGGAGGGCGGGTGGGAGGAGCTTCTCAGGCGGCCAAGGGGGAGGGGGCGAAAAGGAGGAGGAGGAGGGCGAGGAGAAAGAGGAGGAGGGGGGGGCGGGGGGGGCGGGCGAGGACGGAAGGGGCGTGGAACGAAAGGAGGCGGACAGATTTCAGCACCCAAGGCGATGCGTCGCAACGAGGTTGTGGTCTGGAGGGGGTGCCCCCCCGAAGGGGGGCTCGTGAGACTTGATTTTTGGCCGTTGCTGTTTTGCCCGGGCTGTAATTCAATAGGCGTGCCCGCAGTGCATGCGCGCCTGCGCTTGTTTGCATTATTTGGTCTCCTCCCATGGGGGGCGACGCGGGCGATGGCGCGAACTTGGCGCGGCTTTTGCGGGCGCTGACAGAATCAGGACACAAACTCAGTAACAGCGAAGAGAGGGCGATGCGGGTCATAGTTCCATGGGTAGAGGACCGCTTGCAGAGAAAAACTCGGGACTTGATTTCCAGCTCCCCTTATTCTCCAGTGCTTTGTATGTATACCTCTGATGGTTGGAGCGCTCGGGTGGCGACGTCGACGACCGAATGCATCGGCCCGCGCGTCCGCGTAGACCACCGCGGCAGGGTCAAGCACGAGTTTTGCATAGAGCGGGCTCTCATTCGACTGCGGAGGCGGTGCGGGCAAGAACGCTTAGTTGCCATCGTGAGCCGGCCTTTAGGCATGTGCAATGGGAAGAGGCATGGCAATTTCTTTACCGCTGCCGTGAACTTCCTGCCAGCCCTCTCCGACTTCGGGGCTAGAGGGATTTAAATCCAGTTGTTCTCTTTGGATGGTCAGCACTTCTCCTCTTTCATGCGGGTGATGCGGGGCAGGTTGTCTCTGCGGGTTTCGGGGGCGGGCTCATTCGGCGACGAAGATGAGCGGGTGTCGCGTTGGGTGCACGAGTGGGTGTTCGGCAAGTGTTGCAAATCGCACTCTTGTTCGAACGCTGTCGTTTGGAGTTTGCGCAGGTATTCGTCCGATGGACTGAAGGACGACGTCCACATTCCTATTAAGTCTTTGCGAAACACATCGGACGACATTCGAAGTAAAATCCATGACTTCATTCGCACGCGGGTTGCGGGCGCGGAGCGCCGCTGCGCTCTTGAGGGCGCGGAGGCTTTTTGGAGATTCTGCTTGGTTCGCGATGACATCGTGGAGTACTTCGCACTGGCGGGCCCCGTCTGGAACGGGGTCGTTCTGCAAGCGAACCAGGACTTCCTGACGCGAGCCGATGCGGTCCAAACCCTGGAGACGATGATGCTGCATGTTCTTTCCTGGAACGACTGGTCGGAGACCC